TAACAACACATTAAAAATAATGTGAACATTCTCTCTCATCTGATGTGAACGTTCACAACACATTTTCAAACAATTCTGTCTCATCTAATGTAGATGTGAACGTTTACAACATGTGAACCTTCTTATTTTTAATTGACAACACATTCTTATTCACAACATGTAGTGATGTGAACGTTCACATTCGTATATTTTATTATGAATATTCACACAATTTAATTGACAATATAATGACAAAAATTCATATCAAATTAATGTGAATATAATGATGTGAATATTAATTTCAATTACATGATGTCAATATATATATATATATATATTTTTGGTGGAAAGGAACATATATAAATAAAATTACCAGTACACAAGTTTAGGGTACAACACCCCATTAGCATCATCATACAACTGGTTGACAACAATCGAGGGAGCAAAATGAAAAAATTGTAAACCCGACATTGTAGAAGAACCCAACTTCCCTATAATATCCGCACTTTGATTAGCTTCTTGATAGATATGATTAATTGCTTGAATCCCCAGCATCTCCACGACAAATCTGCAATAAAAAATAAGATTGTTAAGGTGATGCTGTATATGTGGATCTCGTTGGAGCAGTGTTTGAATCATCTTGGAGTCAGTTTCAATTTCTAGCTTTGTGAAATTTTTTTCTCATGTAATTGACAACACAATGACAAAAATTTATTTCAAATTAATATGAATATAATGACAGTCAACATCCTGATACATGTGAACTACCAAAATATAATGACGATCAACATTAAATATCAACATTAATATAGGGTATGAGAGATTGAGGGTATTTTAGTCTTTCTACCTCAAATAGGATCTAATGGAATAATAAAAAAGAATATGAGTTGGAATGAAATAGTAAAAAAAAATATGAGTTGAATAGAATAAAACTTTTAGAAAGATAATTTAACAAAAAAACTCTCAATAAAATATATATTTTATAATAATGTTTGGATAGATAGAATGCATACGAGCATTAGAGATACTCTTTCAATTATAATATTTTATATGAGTCAGTACTTAAATTTTCTTATTAAAAAATTAAAAAGTAATCTTAGGTAGGCATTAACAAAATTATTTAATTAAAAAAAGAAAAAAAAATCAATAATAACAAAATTAATTGGAGCAATAGTCTGTCATCGTATAAACATTCGACTCAAATATAAGAAATTTGTTATATAATAAAAAAAATCCTACAATAATAAAACATAAAAAATATGAATTTAATGTATAATTGTACGCAACAAAATTGGTTGAGAAAAAGAAAATAAAGTATTTCAGTTTGGTGAAGATTGTCGCACAACACAACCAACAATCTGAGCCCACTGCCTCAATCTCGTCTTCATCGTCTCCGGATCATCACCTTCAAAAAATTCCAAATTAAAATAATTCAAAATCAAAATCAAAATCAATAACCACAGCCGTTGGATCATTGTAGATTAGAATGAGCACCGTTAGATGAATACCTGAGTCGAATATAGTGGTGGTGCTGGTGCTACTTCTAGGGCTCTCAATCGGCAACGACGAAGAATCGGAGTCAGAAATCAGCGTCGACGTTGATGACGATGATCTGGATAGTCCTCCATGGTGGTTGTTATACTGCTTATTCACAGCGTAGTAGAGTTCCAAAGCAGGAAAGGCATCGGAGAGTTTCGGATCGCTATCGGGCGAGTCGGAGTCGAATCCGAACCCTAACTCGAAGCAGGCCTTCAGTTCGTCGAAGTCGTCGTCGGTGACGCTCTTGGTGCGGCGGAGGAGCCGGCGGCGCAGCTTGTGGTTGTCCTTCCGCCTCGACCAAGTCTCCTGGCGGTGGATGTCCGGGGACCACGACTGTTGCTTCAATAGTTGTGGCGGCGGAGGCTTCGATTCAGACATTGTGTACCACCGCATACACGAAGTCTGCGGCGGTGTTTTGGGATCTTCGCGGCGGAGATGGCCGGGGGTTGTGTTGTGGAAAAGCTTGGGCTTTTTTTTGGTTAGGCCTTTATAAGGTAAGGAAGTATGACGAATCTGGGGTCTACTGGGTTTTGGGGGAAATTATATAGTCGTACGGGGACAAATACATATATTCTTCACATGCTTTTCATTGGTGTTAAAACTGAAAATTCATGTTATTTTAGTCTTTCATTTTTTAAAATGACTAATATTTTGGGACAATAAAAAAATAACATAAGGGACTTATTAATGTTAATGAATTTTTAAAAAAAGGCAAAATAAGAAATTCATATTATTTTAGTCTTGAATTTTTGAAAATGGACTAATATTTTGAGATAATTTTCATTTTTCATTGCCCCAAAATATTAATCTATTTTCAAAAATCAATGATAAAAAAAATATGAGTTTCCTATTTTTCCATTCTTTTAATTAACATTAATATTTTTGAAGTCCAATAATTATAGAGCAATGATTAAGACTCCCACCCCCACAAGACCCTTACAAATCTGGACTACTCATGTGGACCGCATACATACATGAGTGGACCCCACACATATATGGAGGGCCAGTATAACTTTGGGGGGTGTGGGGTTATCCTCAAAGGCGGTCCCAAACATTTCTCATAATTATACTACCCACAAAATTGAATTTCTCAAAAAGAACTAATATTTTGAAACAAAGAGAGTATATTATAGGATAAATTACATTAATTTTCTTTGAAGATTTAAAATGTGTATATTTAAGTTAAATATAGTAAATTTTACAATTTTGATATAATTACACTAACCTCCATTTTAGAATTTTTTTTTTTTATAGTATTTTAGATAGGGATTTTTAAGAACGTTAAAGAGATCAAAACTAATACAAGTACACAAAGATAGGGCAAATATATATATTTTAATGTAAAAGGGATGGTAATATTATTTTTTTTTTCATTTATACAACTAACAAATTTTAACAATAGAAAAAATAAATGTTATATAAATTAAAACTTTAAGATAACCTAATATAATTATGCCAATCTTGTGAGATTTATTATAATATCATAAATTGAACATAATCATATTAAATTTTTAAAATTTTTACTTCACATAGATTTTACTCTCATTTTAATTAATAATTCATTAATTATATAGATAAAATAAATTAATCATTATTTTTTTATATTAAAATATATATACATATATATATTTAGTTTGTTTATTTTGTGTTGTGCATTAATTTTATTTAACTTAGTCTTACTAAAAAATAAGAAAGATTTATATAATCGATCCCATTTGATGGAGCTTAAAGTTTGATTTGGTTTGTGTGGGGACATAATTTTGAGTTGTTCACGTGGCTTAGGTGGTTAGCCGATGTGCTATGCGGGTGATTCTGATTGGCTAAGGTATAGTTAGATCACAACTAAATCTGAGATGTTTGGATGAGGAATTAGAGTCCTAGATGATGACAGATTCTTTGTTTGGATAGATCAGGACTCTTGAGAGAGTTAATCTTATTCCAAATTGGAAGAATCCCTGATAAGTGATATCTTAGAAAGAATTAGAGCCCTATGAGGTGACACTTTTAGGAGACAAAGGTATTGATGACTATAAAATGTAGGCATCCCTGTGGGTCTAATGTACGCTTTATTTGGGAGTTGTTTGTTGACTTGAGCCGAGATATTTTTGAGATTGTTTGATGGAATTGATCGTCAGAGTGTCTCTGGGTAGACCAGCCACCAGTCTTGTTGTCTTTTTATGTGTAGATATTGGGCTTCACTATTTTTACACGTACTTTATGACTTGGTTCCCAGAATCTTGGAGAAAAGATCTGATTTAGTTAGGAAATATATGGCCAACATCGTACAAGATCAATGTGTCGAAGACAACAAGTCATGATCTCAATCGAAGGAGTACCCTCTAGTATGTTGTGCAACCAATATGCAACCAACATGTTGGGAGATCGAACATTGTAGGTCTCATGACCTCAGTATGATCGAGGTAATAGGACCTAGGGAGTAGTTATGGAGAGATAATTTTGAGTTATCCACGTGGCCTAGGTGGTTAGCCGAGGTGCCATGTGGGTGATTCTTATTGGCGAGGTGTGGTTAGACCACATCTGAATCCGAGATGTTCGGATGAAGGAGTAGAGTTCTAGATGATAATAGACACTTTGTTTGGATAAGGTAGGACTCTTACGAGAGTTAATTCTATTATAATTGGAAGAGTTCTTGATAAGTGATATCCTAGAAAAGATAACAGTCCTTTGAGGTGAGACTTTTAGGTGAGGAAGTCATCCATGATCATAAAGGTAGGCACAATGTGGTCTAAGGTATGCTTTATGTGGGAGTTATTTGTTGACTTGAGCCGAGATATCTGTGAGATTGTTTGACTGACTTAATTGTTGGAGTGCCCGAGTCACCGATCATGTTGTCATTTCTATGTGCAGGTGTTGGGTTTCTTTATTTCTATACGTGCTCTACGACATAGTTCTCACAATCTCGGGGAAGACATCTGATTTGAATGTGAGATCAAAATTCAACATTCACAATTTGGTTATTAAAATATAAAATTTATTCTTTTTCTAAAATTCATTAATGACCAATATAATTTACCTTCTATTTAAATAAAAAAAAAAAAGCACAAGTAGTTCCGTAATTAGGGGAGCAGAATTGCTAGTCATATTTTGCAACATCATTAGAATGGGAGGACAACACATAAGAAAATGAGTCATAGGCCCTGAATGAGTTACTAAATATTTTAATAATAGTCTTGCTACATTTTTTAATTGAGGTTTTCAATTCTATTCCTAATGACGTTGTTAAGGTACGTATAAAGCAGTTACTTTCATCTTTAAGTCTCCTTTAATTCTATATTATTGGGAGTGAAATTAAGGGAACAAAATTAACGAGATGAATAATTTTTCTTCTAACAAATACTTACATCAGTGTGGGACCTATGTAAGTTCCATGTGGTGTAAGTCCTATACTTATATGACTAATACAACATTTGATAATTTATTTAGGGCTCTAATATTTTTGTTAAAAAATTACGAGAAAGGCTAATCTAGAATGTGTGCGGTACAAGAAATTCATGGAATCTCGTAGAAAAAGAATATAAACAACCAAAAAAAATTTTTAGATTTTTTTTTTAATTATACATAATCACTAACAAGAATTTGGTTATTTTTACAAACATGGTATTGATAAATCTAAGTCTAGAAATTCATTTTGGACAATTACACCATAGCTTTTTGCCACGTCTTAGAACAAGAAGTATAACGAAAATGACTCATCTCCACGTCACTATCCTTCAATTTTTTTTTTTTTTTTTCAAAATTCACTTTTTCGGTCTGACTTTCATAATTCACAGTGAGAATTATTTGTGCAACAAATCAGTTTTATCGAATATCGATAAATAGAAAAACAAAACACATTCTATTTTAAAAAATAAATAATTTAAAATTAAATTCATAATTGGCATTTATTTTAAAAATAAAATGCAAATAGTTCTTATATCTGGTCATATATGGTGAAATTAATTTTTTTATAACTCATTTTTATTATTAAACCTATAAAATAAACGTTTTGAATCATTATCTTGGACCTAAAGCCTAAAATAAAACCTATAAAATTGAGAATGAAAAAATAGAATAATGCTTGGGACCCCCTTTTGGGGGTCACTCCCTCATCCCCTTTGCCACGTGGCAGGGGGTGATTGGTGGAGCAGGAAAAAAAAGAAAAAGAAAAAGAAAAGGTAACCAATGAGAGAGAGAGGGGGTCAAAGGGGGTGGGGGAAAAGGGGGATGAATCATTACTAGATTTGGACAATTACACCATACCTTTTTGCCACGTCTTAGAATAAGAAGTATAACGAAAATGACTCATCTCCACGTCACTATCCTTCAAATTTTTTTTTTTTTTCAAAATTCACTTTTTCGGTCTGACTTTCATAATTCACAGTGAGAATTATTTGTGCAACAAATCAGTTTTATCGAATATCGATAAATAGAAAAACAAAACACATTTTATTTTAAAAAACAAATAATTTAAAATTAAATTCATAATTGGCATTTATTTTAAAAATAAAATGCAAATAGTTCATATATCTGGTCATATATGGTGAAATTAATTTTTTTATAACTCATTTTTATTATTAAACCTATAAAATAAACGTTTTGAATCTTTATCTTGGACCTAAAGCCTAAAATAAAACCTATAAAATTGAGAATGAAAAAATATAGATGATACTTACAAAGAAGGATTCCATTTCCGAGCACACACTTCAGAAAATTGCGAGAAAGAGCCTTCATATTTGACAGCCTGGCTTGGTGTGCGATCGACCTTTACAGCAAGGTGTCTAGCGGTCATCGATCCATTTATTCTTACAGCACAGCTAGGATTCTAGGAATTGAAATTTGTAGCTCCACCTTACTTGATTCTTTTTTCTTTTTTCTTTTTTGTCAAAAAAAACATATTTTATGCTTTTCTTTTTCTTTCGATTTACAAATAATATAGGGCAAATTACAAGTGGGGTTGTTTGGAATTACTAAATAAGTGTATTTCTTGATTTTTATGATAAAACGTAAAATATAAATTGAGTTTGAAGTGATGTGGTAGAGACATAATGTGATTTAAATAATATGATGTGACTTAAATATGATAGTGACTTTTTGACTTTTTGACTTTTTTAAATTATGCCAAACTAGGCCTTAGGTCTATAGTTTGGGACTCGTGTTACTTTGGTCTCTAACTTTTTAATTATGACACATTTGACCATGAATTTTGAATTTTATTCCAAATAAGGATAGTTAAAGATTCTATCGCTTAATTTCAAGGGCAAAATCGTCAATTTGATAAAATATAAACTAATTTGACAAAAATAATTATAAAAAAAAAATATTTTAAAATTTTAAAAATTATTTCTACCCACCAAAGATAAAATTATGTAAAATTAATAAATCTTTTAGACATTTATTTATTTATTTATTTTCACTAAATTAATTTTTATTATGTGTTTAGATGATGATCATGTAGTGAGTGGTTGTTTGGATTTTAATGTGTAAGCGATATATTTATATGAAATGTTTTTAGCTTTAAATTTTTTGATTTGATGGATTGGTTTAATAATGATATCAAAGTTGTCGCAATATTTGACTTTTGAAAAAATAGAAACTAATTTAATGCAAATAAAAATATCCACCCATTACATGATTATCATCCAAACACATAATAAAAATTAATTTGTTAACAAAAAAAAAAGTCTAAAAAACTTATCAATTTTACATAATTTTATTTTTAATGGGTATAAATAATTTTTAAAATTAAAAAATATTTTTTTGACATTTATTTTTGTCAAATTAGTTTATATTTTATTAAATTGACTATTTTGCCCTTAAAATTAAGCAATGACATATTTAATTATCTTTATTTGGAACAAGATTCAAAATTCAAGATTAAATGTGTCACAATTGAAAAGTCAGGGACCAAAGTGACACAATCCCTAAACTATAGGGACTGTTGGTGTAATTCACCCAATAATATAAGACAAGGATAAATTATTTTGAGATAATTTATTTTAGAAAAATGATACACTAGTTTACTTTCTAAATTTATAATTTTTTATATCTAATAATATGTAAAAAATTATGATTGACTTATGATTAAAGAAGAAATTGGAGAAAGAGAGAATTGTTTAAGATATTATATTAGATTGCCACATCATTAATTTAAAAAATAACGCTAATGTTAGAACTTGAATAACACCGCTCTTTATTTTATGATGAACTATTTAAATGAGGGTATTTTATTTTGTATGAGAGCTTTCAAGAATGCTGTCAGAAAATTCAAATTCTCTAGAAATGATGAGAGACTTAGGTTCCGTTTGGCACAACTCTCAAATTATAGTTCTACCCATTGATTTGAGTGTTTTGTTTGTTTTGAGCTTTCATATGGTAATTCTACACCCATTTCTCAAAACTCAATTTAAAACATAATCAAAAACTCAATTCAAAACTCTTTTTAAAACTCAATTCAAATTAATAATTCAAAACATAACCAAACACATAATTCAAAACTCTTTTTAAAACTCAATTCAAATTAATATTTTGATTTTTTAAATATTTTAAGTATTTAAATATTTTAAAAATATTTTAATTTTGTTAAGGTTTTAAATATTTAAATATGTTACGATTTTTTTAATTTTTTAATTTTTTGAATATTTTTAAATGTTAGGATTTTAATTTTTTAAATTTGAAAATATTTTATAAAAATAAATTCAAACTCTATTTTATAAAAATATTTTTAAATATTTTAATTTTTTTGTTATGTATTTGGTTATGATTTGAGTGTAGAGTTGTGAAAGTAATATGGAGTTTCGAGTTATGTGTTTGGCTACGAGTTTTAAAAATAATTTCTTAATTGAGTTTTGTTTTATGTGTTTAGTTACGATTTGAGTGAAGAGTTGTTTTTAAATTTAAATTATTAAAATTTTAAATTATTTAAAATTTTTGAATATTTAAATTATTTAAATTTTTACGATTTAAATTTTTTGAATATTTATTTTAATTTTTACTTATTAAATTTTTTAGATTATTTAAATTATTTAAATATTTATGATTTAAATTTTTTGAATATTTATTTTAATTTTTACTTATTAAATTTTTTAGATTATTTAAATTATTTAAATATTTATGATTTAAATTTTTTGAATATTTATTTTAATTTTTACTTATTAAATTTTTTAGATTATTTAAATTTTTATGATTTAAAATTTTTGAATATTTGTTTTGAAAAAAATTTATTTCCTTTGTAGTATTTTCAATTAAAAAATTGATTAATATTATTTTATGTTAATAATAAAAAAATTTAATTGAATTTTAAAAAGAGTTTGGTTATGAATGTTGATTATAATTTTCAATAATGTGAAAGTAGTGTGTTTTGTTATGAGTTATAACAATTTGAATTAAGTTTTGAAAACTATTTTCAAAACTCACAACCAAACAAATTTTCTTACTTCAAATGTCAAATCAAACTTTCAAAACACAATTTCACACTCAATTCAAAACTCAATTCAACACTCTATTAAAAAACCATAACCAAACAAATTTTGCCTGTGTTTGGCAAGGGCTTTTTCAGGTTTTTTTGGCTATTTTAGCCACAAAAAATAAAATAGGCTATTTTAGCCATAACAAACAAAACATCACATCCAACCTATAATCATTACATTCTTCTCTCACAAAAAAAGTCAAAAAAGCCAAAAAGCCAAAAAACCCTTCTCAAACCAAGCTTTTTAGCCCAGGCTAAAATAGCCAAAAAAGCCAAAAAGCCAAAAAGCCAACCCACTTCCCAAACGGAGGCTTTCTACACTCAAATCATAATTCCACAACTCACAAACTCAAAATATAACTCATACTCTCAAATCATATTTACAGAACTCTACCAAACGCAACCTTAGATTCTTTAACAATCACAACTAGGAACACAATAGCAAAGAGATGATGGAGATAAGAGACTGGCTGAAGAAGAAGTAAAGTAATTAGAGAGAGAATAATGGTAAAACTCTCCCATGGATCTCTCACTTTCACTCTCAAAGTAGATAATAGAGAAGGGAAATTATTCTTTTCCAAGAGTTGTCTTTTGAAAATCCATCCCTTGTAAAGCTATGGGTAAGTGCTATTTATAAGCACCTCATGATGTAGGACAGAGCCTATGTGTAAGGCACATGAGAAATAGTCCCTCTAACTACCTTGTCCGAGGAGGTGACCTCTCTGAGGATGAGGAAAACCCCGAAGAGGAAATCAACCTCTCGGCGAATCCTTCTTCTTAGCTACACCTAACCAATCCCCAATCATCCCAAAGGACTGAGGTAGTCCTAGAGGACCCCATGCTGCTAATATTTCCAAGTCTCATAGACCCCTCGGGGTCATGCCACCTTGACCCAAGTATAGGCTAAATCAATCGATGAGTGAATTCATCTTCACCCACCGTCCTTGGGATTTAGGCTCTTTGTTTGGGCTTTAACCGCACTCATGATTTTGGTGGATTGATCCCGGGATGCTCCAAGTCCACAAATGTTCTAGGACTCACCAATGAAGAAGTTTCTAGATTGTAATCGAATCCATTCAAAGCCTGAGTGCCTCGGATCTCTAGGTTTGCTTAATACCCTTTCGAGTCTGGGCTCGAGTAAGTCTCTAAGTTTGTGGATCCGAACCTTTTCAAGGCTTAGAGTGATCTAGCCCGTTTGATGGCGATAAATCCGGGGCCCATCAATCTTGGACTTTTTGATTGGGCCTAATTAATTTTAATGGGCCTGACTTGACCCCTCCTACATTTTGCCCTTTGTATGTATGAGAAATTTTAGTTTTCTTGGACAAGCACATCCTTTCCTCCTTGACTATGTTTCGCTTCACCTCCTTGGGCGTGTGTTGTCTTGATATAGTCGATGGAAAAGGTTGATAATTAATAAGAAGGAATCTTTTATCCCTATGCCTTGTTTGGTAAACACACTTTTGTGCCTTTTAATTTATTTCCTCAAAGAAAATTGAAATTGAAATTGAATTATTAGGCCAAGTTTGGCAATCTAAAAATAATTCATCTTTTTATTTTTTTATCTTTTTTTTCATCACATCACCTCTCTACTTTTTTGTACATCTTTTCATAAAAAGATAAAAAATACACTTATTTAAGTCATTTTAAACAATCTCTTGCTACTATTAATTTTTTTGAAAATCTAAGGGCCTATTTTTTGATTTATCCATCTAGAAAAGTGGCAACCCACTGCTTTTCTTTTTTTTTTTTGAAATTGAAAATCCGTAAAATGCTCGGCCCTTTCTGTATATATGTCATCAAAAATATCTGAGGGACCATAAAATCACACCTTTTTTTTTGTTCCCAAATAAATTTTGTCCTTATCCCTTTTTTGCCCAACCCTATTCTCAGCCCACTCTCTCTCTAGACCGAGAGACCCAAAGCTCTGTTTCTGCGATACCTCACTGCCTACTGCTGCAACTCCGAGCACCGCCACTGACCTGTCCTAGTTTCGACTACCGCAGACGTCGCGACCTAGCTACCGTTCTATCCCAGCTCCGATTGCCGCAAACGTCACGACCCAAGCTGTTGCTAATTCATATTGTCGCCAGCTCTACCTCACCATCGGTGCTTTACTTCAGCTTAGTGACGTAACTCCTCAGAGATCCAGATACATTGGAGTTCGGTTCTGCTAACTAGCACCGACGCTGACTCTGACTCCGACTCCTCTACAACATCACTGCTGCTTACGACCTCGACTACCCAACGCCGACCACTATCGGTTTCTCACTGCTGCAACTTCGTCGCCAGCCTCGACTGTCCAACGTCGACCACACTCGTCGCCCACTCAATGTGACGTGTGTGGTCGTTAACGCTTCTGCGACATTGCTGCTGCTTCTAGCCTTGACTGTCCAGTGCCGACTACACACGTCACCCACTCAACGTGACATGTGTGGTCTTGCCTAGCATTGTTTAGCTAGTCGTCGACCCTGGGTGTGTTTGTTTCACATTTGCGGCCTTGACACTGCTTGCAGCCGCGGCTTGCCCCAGCTTCGGTTTGCATTATTCTCAATTTCTTTCTTGCTCATTGTTGCTTGGAATCTGCTCTTGCTAATTACGGTCTATATAACTTTGCCGATTTCAGCTCGTATTACCTACATCGGCCTTGGACTTCATCTGTGCATCCTTATACATATTTTCTATTAACCGACTTCATCCCTTCGACTGCCCAGATTTGTGAGTATAAATTTAGATCCCTCTTTCTCTTGTATATATATATATTTAGAAGCCTTTCGTGAAAAGCCTATTTCAAAATCTATAATTCCAATGACTTTTTTTTTGTAGCTCAAGAACTTTGATCTACTGGGCCTTAATATTTGTGATTTGAAACTCCACTAAGGGCTTGAATAAAACTTTGATGTTGCAACTCCCACCGATGTTGAAATTTGTGGAGCTGGAGAGTGATTGAATTGTTTTTTTTTGTTCATTTGCCATCCTGAGGAAATGACTCCTTAATGCTGGACCTGTTGTCACAAAGACGAATTTTACACAATGTTGGAGGCTGCAGAATTGCCAAAATTTTTATTGTTTGAGAAATTTTTTGTTGAAGAGTATGAGTCATGAAATTACTGTTTTAGAGCTTGAATTTTTGTTGATGTTGCTTTGAAACTTGGGGAAAAAAATTGTTGATGACATCCGATGAATAGTTTGCTGATAAACCCATTATGTTGCATATAAATCTTATTATCGAATGATTGATTGTTGCAACCCTTAGAATAGCAGACATCGTGCTTGAATTCTTGATGTAGAATTCCACTTAGAATTTGTTGAATTCGTGGATTCTCCGAGAAAAAAGTAGTTGATGCTGAAATTTTGTTTGAACTCCTATTAATTTATGTTGCTTCAATTCCGATAGTCTGAATTTGATACGGTCGACTCTTTGCTGTTTTAGCTATATATGTCTTCTCGAAAGAAATCTATTGTCCTTGGGTCATCAGAACCGGCTCTTATGAAGGAGAGGGATGTGCCTCCGGTGTTCGAGTAGAGGAAATCTTTTTATTTTGGCCGGAAGGACCCGTTCTGACGAGCGGCTACCTCCACTGCTTCTCTTTTGTCTCCGAATGGGGCTCCATTCTGTATTTCTGAGGATACTGATTCTAGACATAGAGCTCTCATTTCCCTTTCTTCGGTGCTACGCTTTGGAGTTGAGCGATGGGATTTTCCTTACTACTATCCCCAATTCAAGGCTTTCTCCAACCCTTTCTTTGGTTGGCAAGAATGGGTTGATGATGTCTTATCGGACAGGGGCCTCTGTCAGAGACTTCAGGAGGCCCAGTTATTGATTCCAATGAAAATATCTCAATCTTTATCCATTCGCCACAAAAATGCTAGCCTTGCAGCCATGGCTCTCCGGTGGAGCACCGAGACACACACTTTCATATTTGGCCAGCATGAGATGGGGCCCACCCTTGAGGTTGTGTTCATGTTGTTGCACCTAGAAATGACTGGCCCTGATGCCTTTTGCCTTGAACGGGTACCCCCTGAGGATGATTCTCTAATCCAATCCCTAAAACAAAATCTTCAAGCTTGTGGTTGGTGGAGCTCTATATTTGATGGTTTAGCGAGGAGGACTAAACGAGTGAGGACAAATCGTGCCTCCTACACTGCATGGATCCGCTACTTCTCCAGAGATCTTCAGCCTTCGGCTAGACATGCTGACCTTGGTTCTCAAGAGTACGAGGTCGGTCCGATGTATGGTTCTAGGCTTTGTTTTCTGGGATTTGTGGCTTGCTTCCTCTCATTCTTCATTCTTTTTTGCACACCTCTAGATTCTCTCAATCCTTTTGTCTTCCCATTAGCAGTTAGATTCTTCAAAGGGGATCGGATCCCCTTAGCCCCACTATTTCTTGGAAACCTGTATTACCGATTGGATTTGCTACACCGAGACATGGTACACTCTGTCGGTCGATATGAGCCTGTCTCTTTCGTCTACTGTTAGTTCCTTCTCTGCTTTATTTTTGAGAGGTTTCCAAAGTTTGCCCCTACTCCGACTGTATTCGAGGCGGAAGTCCTTCGGGAGGTAGTAGATAAAGAGGGTATCACTGTGCTTGAAAAGGACGGCTCTCACATGTTGGAGAAGGCAAAGATTTGCTAGCCATTGATCACACATTGGTCACGTGTCATTTCTACATTTTCTCTGAATACTTTGGCGGATGATCCTCGGCGCTTTGTGGCTTGCCCCTATGTATGCCCACCAGTGGGTGTGGCGACGCCACTTATTTACCATGGTTCCTCCCAACTAGTGTCTTTTTCCTTGCCAAAGGATATTTCTACGTATCTTGTTGATATGTTGATAAGTTCGTCCAGTTCACTACCAGTATGGCATGAGGAAGGCCTTGATAGTACCATCTACAGACTTGATAGAGTAGCATGTCAATTTCGATTTGGCCAGTGCGCCCCGGGGCTGACACCTTCTTTGTTGTCTTTTTTGGAAAGCTGCGGGCGATTTACTCCTGGACTTGTACACACCTTACTTCCTGTATCTGGCTTTTTGACACTATTCGATTTGAGTTGGGTAGGGGGTTTCACCTTGTAGACACCCCCATTATTGACCGCCCCTAAGACTTAGGTGCTTGAGGTTGATCACTCGATGATGAAAGTGATGCTGTACAATCGTTCAAGTTTTTCATCAAAAGGCTTCGATTTTTGAGCTTCTAAATCCCAACCTTACACCCCATTTTGGAAAAAAATTATTTTAGACCTTAAAGCTCTCTTTTTCAATTTTTTTTTTCAAATGTTTCTACGATGTTTCGAGGCTCGCATTTCGTTTAACATATTGCACTTTTTGGTAAACCAAGTAAGGACAAAGTGGAAATAAATGGAGAAGAGGTGAACTCTTTGAAAAATCTTTAAAAACATCTTATTTATAGGTTTGGAGTTGAAGGAAATATGAGGGGAGGAAAGAAAACTAGTTGGGGGAAAGATTGGGCATCAATCCATTAAGAAAGAAATGAGTAGCCTTCACTAAATTAGGCATATCTCTTCATACACTTAGAATTTATATATGAGGCCACACCATTGGAAACTAGACTTTTGGGGCTTTAATTTAGACTCAAGAATCACCTAAAACCGAGTTTGAATGAGGAAGTTATGCCCGTTTGAAGTTGGGCTTGAAAATGGATTTTTGTGGCCGGCTGGCCACTTTTTGTGGACAGCCGTACAAGTACCTGGTCGGCCTGAGAGGTAAATATTTCAGCCAAGTGTCCCCACAAGCCATTTTTGGTGGCCGACTGTCCCCTTTAGGGGCTGGCCGGCCAGTTATGCCGGCAGAACAGATATTTGTAGATATTTGTTGCTAGCTGTTTCCACAGGTGCATGCACTGCACCAGCTATCTCTATATTGATATTTCCAAGATCGTAACATGTTTTTCTATATATAGATGACCACCTCTCTTGAAATTAGGTTAGAAAAAATTTCAAAAAGCTCTAATACTTGCATAGCACACACTCTCTCTCTCTCTCTCTTGCAACCTACACACTCTTTTTCTACACTTCCTAAACCAAAAATTTGGCTCTTCTTGCTGAGATTCTTGAGCTCAAATCTCAGCCTTTGAGAGTGTAAGCTTTGTGGTTTGTGAACAAAGGAGTTACTCCTTTTCAAGAGGTATAACTTTGACTATCTTTTCACTACTTCTTTTTTCTCTTTTCTTACTGTTTTTAAATTGTTTTTGGACTGTTTTTATGGGCTTATGATTAAAAGCTATCTAAGGTAAATGGATCAACCACCCTTCTTTGAATCTTATCTCCTAAGCTTTTTCCCTTGTTTTTCCTATCTCTTCCTCAACTTTTTCCAAATTTTTACCACTGATTTTAAGAGGTTTTTAGAGGCTAAAAATATAGTTTTGAAGTCCCAAAAATGGAGGGGTTAGCCACCCCTCCTTACGCTTGTTTACTAGTTCAATTTCTCCATTGCTTTAGCTAACTTTTTCAAACTTTTCCATGTTATTTCTAGCACTATTTTTAGCTATTGTAGGACTATTTTAGGTTGTTTATTTCGTTTATGCTTTGCATAGCATGCTTGTAGTGTAGTTGTCCTCATAGGTTTAGTGGTTTAGGCCTTAGCCACCAACCTATTTGAGTTGATAGCATTTATTTCATACTTTTCATACTTGTGCTCACATGTAATCACCTCTGAAACCTCCTTCCTTTCTTAACTTTTTATTTCTTTGAGAATTGTTTCAACCAAGTGTTGTTTAAGCTTGAGAAAGTGACCATACAATGCTAAATGGTTTAATCTCTTTGGAGGTTCATTACCAGGGCATTAGCTCTCTCTTATGCCCAAAACAACTTCTTGTTTGACACTCCTCTCCATTTAGTGGACTTAATTATCATTTTTGGACTAAAATGACTAAGGAATGGAAAGGTAATTAAAAGAGGCAATAAAATTGGACTAAAATGCAACAAGACAATAAAATCAACTTAGGTTCAATCGGATATTAATCGAACCCATTGAGTCTTAAGTCATTTCATACTTGTTAGTAATGTTATTGATTCAAGATTCAATGTCAACCATTTTTATTGATCAATTCCATGATAGAGACGAGGTTTTGTTGCTCTTTCACTTATTGAGCTTTGTCCAATTGAGTCATGGGTCATTATGCAACAACCTTGTGACCATTGATGATTTGTGAATTGATTCTACCCCTCCCTTGACCAATTTCATGATAGGGAGAGGCAGAGAGGATAAACATTCCCTGGAAACACTCTGTTTCTGCTTTGTTCTTTTTTTGTTACAACAGAGCAATATCAACAATAGTGGCCAGTCGGCCACCATTTGAATCCGGCTGACCACTTTTCTGGCAAGCCGGCCATCTCTTTTTTCAACTAGACAGAATAGTTCTGGTAGCAAAACAGAGACATTTTCGGGCGGAGGTTCGCATTGGCATGCATGGTTCTTTGACCCTTGCTCGAGTTCAATTAGTTTAATTCATAGCTCTTAATTAGCTAATTAATTAGTGAGTTGATTCCCTTGAATTGTAATAACTTAGTTAATGCATCTTGTGTTGTAATTAATTAGTTAATTTAATCTTAACTTGTAATAATTAGCTAGTGTAGTTAATTAATTTCATGTGGTGTTGTAATAATTAGCTTAGTTAGCTGGGACATTCATTCAGACCTTCTTGTGCGAGGGCAAAATTATTATAATGTGTATGTCTTCCAACCCCTATTTCTTCTCCCTTTTATTTACTTGCTTATAATGGATAGCATAGAGCATGACGTTTCTTTTAGCATTTTCCATGATTTGCATCCATTCATCTTGCATGCATAAGGTTCAGTTCATTATTTTAACGGCATTGTCATTTATTACTTCCTTGAATACGTGCTTCACCGCATGCTATCAAAGTGATTCACATGACATATTGGACAACGGGACCTATTAGTTGCATTTTTGCATGTCCTACATTAGCCATCTTGTATCGTTAAAATCATGCATTTTTTCTAAATCTTTTGTTCTTTTTGGCTTGCCTTGGAGTACTAGGTGAGCGTTTTTGCTTTAGCATATTGCATGCGTGTGATTGTTGCCATGACAAGCATGTTACCATAAGGCTAAGTGCTTAAATGATATATCTCTTGAATTCCTGTGGATGAAGGCTAATTGCTTAAGTTGGAATAATTTGATTAAATGTACATACGACATCGTTTTTTCAAGTGGTAC